ATGTTGCAATTTCCTTCCTGCTTCGATGGCAGTTCGATGCGATTGACTTCCCTGCCTCATGAGCGTGACAGGGGTCACCTGTCCAGAGGCCTGTGTTAAGGCCTAGCATTCTGCCATTTCACTGCGGCCTGGCCATTCATCTGGGGAGATGCCCGTGACAGACTCCAGTCGCTGGTGCTGCCACCACCCCTGGCCCTGTGGTGAGTGCTTACCAAGGTGCTTCCACCGTCCAGTCTGTTCCCAAGGGCTTGACTGGCCAGCGTTCCCCAGGGCTTGCTCTCCCTTCTCCATAATGGGGTAGGAGCCCCATTACATTATTGTATGGTCTTTTTTTTTTTTTATAGAAACAACATTTCAATTAGTGAAAAGTCAAAAAAGGGTAACTGAGTTTACAAATTCTGCAACTTTTTCTTTACAAAACTACTTTGTTCTTGAGCTAACAAAGTATGCTAGTAGAGCCATTGCATCTAAAACAGATTATGCAGTTGAATATTTACCAGCACTAAGTTTTTAAAGCAGGGGTGGGCTATTATTTTGCCTGGAGGGCCGCTTAACAAGTTTTGGTGAGCTGTCGAGAGCCGCAAGGGTAGCCCCGCCCCTTAACAGGTGCCCTCCCCCCTGGTTGCCATCTTGGGACAAGAAGTCCCTCCCCAGTCCCAGATCTTTGCCACCAAAAGTCCCTCCTCTTGTCCTGGAAGCACTCCTTTTGGCAGGGGGAGGTGCCATCTTGGAACCGGAAAAAAAATCAAACATCTATTGTAATTTATTTTTATTTTATTTTAAAAAAAATATTTTTGTCCTGATTTGTGTGTGCTTGCATAATGTATCTAGAGGCAATTGAGTAATAGCTCAAAATACTCTTACACTTGTATATTGTGTGGGGGTGTATGTGGGAGGGCTGTGGTTGGGGTGTGGGGGAGTATGGAGTGTGGGTATGGGCAATGGGTGTGGGGTATGTGGTTGGGGTGGGGGTCTGGCAGTGTGTGTGTGTGTGTGGGTATGTTTGAGTAGGGAAGTGTGGGGGGGGGTTGTGGGCAGTGGGAGTGTGTTTGGGGGCAGTGGAAGGGTCTGAGTGTG